TAATCAATAACCACACACCCTAACTAAATGCATCAACCACTGGTGGTGTAAACATCAGAAATATGGGTTTTATATCTCCAACTAATAATACACCTTTGTTGAGGGAAGGTGTCCAAACTATCTGTAGGTTGGAGTGTTTGCCAAATATAAAGGTGTCCCTTAATTGTATAGTTATAGGATGTGTTGTCCTACAAATATTCAGCGAAATATACTTCATTCTCTGCTGCTCTGTTTGTCAATTAGTTGGCAGCAGGAAATGATCCTTGCTAAATGCAATCTAAATTCTGCTTTTACACCATTCTTCCTGCATGTCATGGTGTACAGAGTTTATCAAGCTCTATTTTCTGCTAGCTGTTATTACTTGAATGACTAATTTACCCTGCGCACTAACTTAACGTCTTTACTCCCTGTACGAAACTATGGCTCCTCCTTCTTCAGGAAAAAGGTTGGGAACTACTGCGAGAACTGATGAACAAGGAGGGGAGGATTTGTTGTCTGTTTTTTTTTGAGTGGGTTGTTGGATTTAACTTGTTGTTCACATGTCGATTTGTAGTGTGAGGTTTGAGAGGCCAGGCAAAGGGTCAGGTATCTTTATCTAATTTTGGAGCTAGGGCGGTCGACCGGAGGCGAGACTGACTTCGCGTGTGGGCCCCTCCTTTCTCTCTGTAAAGGCCTTTGATTGAGGTGCTGGGAGGCAGGGTGTCTGGCAGCAAGCGGCTCCGGTCACCTTTCTGGTCATGGTGTTGTTGATCATGAATTCGGCGTTCTTCCTGGATCACTTGTCAGGCAACTCGACTCCTGACACTTGCTGCCTCCCCACTAAACTCAGGCTTGTTCACCTGGAGAGCCGCTAAACTTGGAGGTATTTTTTATTATGGCCTTATTCTTTTCAGTTAAATGTGATTGGTTCACTATTGTAAGGGTGAGCGGGCAGTCTGGGTTGGGTAAGGATCCTAAGTTACTCGAGGCGCGCGTTCATGTGGGTGGGTCAGAATGGTGGGTCCTATTCGTTTGGTTTTTCATCCACACGTTTACTGGTGTCGACCCCGCTCTCACCTTCTTAACATTATACAGGAATATTTTCTTAACGCAATGGAGCGTCCTGAGTTTAAGTTCCCTGCCCAAGGTCGATTTCCAATGGGGTTGGCGCATATTCTGAGTTTGCCATGGGTCCCCAACGTCATCTGCATCTAGGGGGTGGCCATTGGTCAGCGTCAAGCTCTACACCAGGCTTTGAGCCTTTAACCTGTCGCCGTGCCCTGTATACCCCTCGAGTTAGCATTACACAACTCTACTCTCCTGGGGAGTTGATGAGGATTTCGTCCCTGCGCCCATCATACTATTTTTCCTGGGGGTCCCCCTGGGTTTTCTCAACGCGCCGAATAGCAGGCGTCACTGATGGACGAGTGGCATGAGACCGCCACCCTGGAACCAGATTCCAGAACCCTGCCTTTGTGGTTCAGTGAGTCAAGATGACTTCTCCTATAGGAGAATACAAGAGTTCACTGACTGTAAACTCCCACTTTGAAGGTCATTATCCTTGTTTTGGATTAACACGACAGGCTCTCTCACTGTCAACATTTGAGTGCAGAAGTGAATTGAAACGTATTCAGTGATCAACTACAGTGAGCATTGGCGAATGCAGGTGAAAGGCCCTCATTTATATCGAGTCCCAATGCATAATAGAGTTATCGGTAGTGAATCCCCTTGAAGTCCTGGCAACATTTTTCTATTACTGGTGTATAGAGCTTTGATGCACGCCGCACACACACTCCAGGACGCTAATCCGACCCAACCCAAAGAAAATTTGGGTTTATTACAAGCTGAGATAAAACCTCATTGGCAAAATAATATCAGTGGCAAATTATTATCCAAAACCCTAATAAATAAGCAAATTCCACCGTAACAGTTGAAGGCCATTATTTTTGGCTTTTAACTCCTGGCCTTCCTACTTATACGTGAACAGCTGAAGACTCGACAGAAAGGGGGGGCCAGAGAGAGGGATGACACAAGCAAAGGGCCCGCAGGCTCAGATCTCGAACCCTAGGCCCGTGCAGCAACCACTCAACTTCGGTATACATGGGTCGCCAGCTCTACCCACTGAGCTGAACCCGGGCGCCCTTTTTGTATATTTGTTTGGGGCTTCTATTTGTTGAATGCATTATTAATGGCTGGCTTGTGGCCTCAGAGGCAAGCGGGTCGTCCCCCATCAGAAGGTTGGTTGGTTCGATCCCCGGGCTCCCTCCTGCCCCGTGTTGAAGTATCCTTGAGCAAGACTAACCTGAAGCCGCCAAATTGCTCCTCGCTGTGCACGCACGCACGCACACACGCACACCAATAAAATCACAGTCAGGTAACAGCATAAGCGGAAGAAGTCGCACATAAAGGCTTTTGGTGCATCACCGGTTTAGAAATCACAATAAGACATCCTGACAATATGGAGAAAATTACAAAAGTACAGCGCAGCTTTTCTTCATTTTACAAAATGGATCAACCTCTGTAACATTATCTATATACTGTAAATTACATCTCATGTAACACATACTGTACATTCCCAGCACATCCTTCATGTCATGTCCACATTTAATCCAGGGAAAAAAAATCTTTTAGGAAAGCCATAATGAGAATAGTGTTACATGAAAATTTATTTTGAGTGCAAAAAGATTCATCACTGTGCAAACATTCAAATGCAGATATACAGAAAACGTTAATGGGAAAATGCTACAGTTTGACAGTGCAGTATTACACTGATTACCGATGAGTCTTCTTTGTTCTGTTCCTACAGATTTTTTCATTAGTAAATTTCATACTGTTCTCCAGTCTTAATTAGAATTAAAATATTTTGGTTTTGTGTAGTGTCAATTACTGTACCCTGATGTGTGCAATTTCCTAAACTGAAAAACACAAAACCTGGATTAAGCATCTGTGTGAGAAAAAAATCTGGAATAAAAGATGCTAGCGGGCGCCAGAAACACAAATATACATGGGCACGTAACCAAGTTGCTTTAATAAAGTAGATGTGGTCTCCTTTCCACTTCTGACTGAAGCAGTATTGTGGATTATTTTGCAGACTGGGACCGGAGGTATGTTTCTTTACAATTATGGAGCGGAAAAACGCACCCTGGAATAAATGGACTTTGTGTTGGAGGTATGTTTGTTTGTATCTGTGTGGTTGAGTGGGTGATGGTTTTATTTCCAGGGTCTACAGCTCTGAACCCTGGCGCTGTCCCCTCCCGCAGCTGTAGAGGAACTGCGTCGACTCTGAGCGCTGGATGCTTTAGACTGGGAGCTGCTGGATGACATGCGGCTGGACATGCGGGCTGCAGTGAACACAGAGGCAAACAGTAGTGAAGGGTAACAGTGATGAGACAGGGAAAACATTACACCTGTGATTCAAACTTTCTCTTAGTGAAATTTTGTTTATAATTTTTTAGTACTTAAATTTTGATTCAGGACTCCAATCTGCCCAATGCCAGAATTTCATGGAGTAAATGGAGCATAAACATAGGATCTCAATCAGAAGGGAATAGACTAGACTGCCATTGTGCACAGCAGGTCAGCTCACGCATACAATCCATCACATGTGGAAAATAAAGTTTCCATCAATGAATATACTTTGGTTTTAATTGAACAGTTTTTTTCTCAAGAAAATAAACAACTAGACACAACTAACTAAACCGAAATACCTGCTGAAGAACTGCTTCTATTTCCCCCGTACTTATGTCGCAAATTACATAATTCTTCCCAAGGATGCTTTCTTAGAAATTACTATTTTATTAGGAAACTATGGAGGCCTAAAACAATACTCTGATTTCAAACTGGAAAATGGAATTGTAAATTGCTCTTACAGTTGGAGTTACTGGGGATGAGTATCTCCTCCAGCTGCTCCTGGATCTTGGCCAGCTCGTCTGATGTAAACCGCCACTTCCTCTCTGCGACTGTCGACGGCTGCTGCGGCAAAGAACTCTTCCTGACCTTCGATGACGTGGGCGAGGAGAGGCATGAGGTTGGGATGGAGCCTGTCGTCATCCCTTCTGGAAACTTCTGAGCGATTACCTTGAGACCTGGGAGAGGACGGAAGTGTGGGGTGACAACCCTTTTCAAATACGGAACCTGCAATAGTGACGCTTTTAAACATTTTATTATTTGTATTAGATTAGTTAGGCAATATAGATAAGTAAAAATACAATAACATACATGTCACGTGCTTTGACTAACTTTAAATGATCAATCTTCAACTAATGGGCATGTAAAGCAGCATTTTCTACATTCATTTTCCCCTTAAAATCCTCCATCACTCAGATGTTTTTACTATGGATTAGATTACTTTTAAAGGAAGCAGAGATATATCTTACCTCCAGACAGCATAAACAGATTCTCAAACCCTCGTTCGCACATGACAGTGGCTGCCTGGCTGGCTATTCTCTCATCCTCATCATACACAATGAGGATCTTCCCTGTGGCATTTTTCTGCACAGTTTGTGTGTTAAGGTCAGACAAATCAACAGTCAGCTGTTACTGCATTTCATAAAAGAAAAAAAATCTGAAAAATCAGGGCATGTAAATATTTTTTGTGTAGTCTGTGATGAAGGATACATATTCCAGCACTTCTTTGGTGTAGGGGTTCATTGTTCGAGAGAGCGTGGCTATGGGGAAACTGTGTGCTGCAGGAGAGAGAGAGGATTAAAACAACCATAGACATTTTTGGAACACGAAGCATGATGACCTAGCGTCGTGTTTTTGCCACCTACCGCTGATGATGTGGCAGCGGTCGTATTGGTCCCTGTCGCGTACGTCCAGCAGCAGGTAAGGGCAGTCGGGATAGGGCCTGTCAGCTGGTTCGGGGCTGAACACAGACTCATTCTTCATCTTCTGGTTGTTCCTGTCGAGGTTCAGCTCTCCCACACCACTAATAACGCTGTAGGTGGTAAAACGTTAAGAGCTGCAATACCCGTCACAGACTTATTTAACTTAATTAATCTTTTTATTTTTTTTGGGGCGACTCTCTCTCTAACATCTCAATATGACAGTACCTGTATGAGTATATAAGACAATTAAACTTGAACATTTTTATGTTTAACTGTATTTTAAACCTCAAACCTTCAGGTTTCATTCACAATTCAAAACTGCCTCTATTTCACAAACACAAGCAAACAAAAGAAAAACAACATAACACTGATTTCAGCCAATCATTGCAGCTTCAGGCTATATTTGTATTTTTAAATTGGATAGTTTTGCATCAGTGCGGTTGTGCCATTTTAACCTAGGTGGTTTCTGGTTATTTTTTCTATACAAAATATAAAAAGCATATATTCTGTTGAACTACACCAACTTTGATACTTTTTGAAAAATGACTTGGAATTGGAGATGATTTAGAATGATGGCTGAACTCTTCATCAGTCCCAGTATATGATGTATATTGACACCTGCCGGCTGGTAAGACACACATGTTTTCTATGTAGACAATGGTGGAAGCAGTACTTCTACATCCCCTGCTACTATGTCTGTAACAGTCAACGAGGATTCAGTCCAGGACGGTACTGATTTTGTTTCTTAAAGCAGGGAGGGGATGATCCGGCAAGTTTTGAACCAGTTAATGTGAAACCAGAGCCTACGGGAAAATGACTCACTGTAGAAAATGTAAGTATGGAGCTGAGCCAAACAGCACTGTAGAAGGACGCCACTTTCCCCCTGTATAGGTTTACCCCAGCACTGCCCTACTTTCCCTCTCCATCTGCCCTCCCCACAAGGTGAAGGTGACCGAAAAGCTCTGCTGTTACAGAGGCTCAGTGTGTGTCCCCCGGAGAGACCACAGATAGAGTTACTCTCCTGGGGTTCCTGTTTGAGGTGGAGGACGCAGGTGAGAGGACGGGAGGCTAAGAACATATTGAGGGAGGTTATTGTGCAGTATACGAGAGGGTGGGGGAGTGTGACAGCTTAAGGGGAAAAAAGGTGGAGGTACAGTATGGTGGGTGTAGGGTTACAGGTGTGCTTGTGATTGTTGGATGCTGGGTGTGAATGAAGGTGGTAGTGTGACTGCGCTGCCACTATAAAGCTCAGTTTAAATTGCACTATTGTATTGTAAAATATACGTTTTTCATTGCGCTCTGTAATTTCAGTAGTAACATAAATATGGCATCCTGTTTAGGAAATTATTATAATCTAAAGTTTGAACATTAAGTTATATATATTAAGTGAATTAATTAACATATGAAATGAAAACTTGAAAATGTTTGAATATACGGAATGAGAGGCACTGTATCATCTTGTGTTTATATTAACATTATATTATATATAATATTATTCCATATGGACGTTGGATGCACTAGATACAACTAGAGCTAATGTAATTAAAGAGAGCTGGTCCTTAAACACCCATCTAGTGCTGATAAATCTACTGAGACAACAGCAATCCACTAACTGGAGTTCCTAATTTGTTTTCAATATCAATTTGGCCTGTGAATTTCATAGCCCTGTCACTAAGTCCAGGACACATAAGTCAACCAGGGAAGGTTGCAGCTGCACCTACAGGGTCCTCTACAGGTTTCAGCACAGCTCAGAGAGCACAGCATGGCACTAACACCCGGGACAGAGGTATAGTTCACTCCAGCGCACACACTGAAAGTATTCAGAATTATACGAAGTACTTTGCATAAATGTTGTCCACCAAACTATGAGTAATACGGTGTGTTGTGTGCAGTATGAGGGATTCAATAGGGTGGTGTACGGTACCTTAGCAGTGTTGACCTGGCAGAGTAGCACATTTCCCGGGTGTATCCGTCATCCTGCCGATCTGAAAGAAGTGACGCCTGTGGGGAGCCGTTGATGTGTTCAGACAGACACTCGAGGTCTGCATCAGACACCACTGACAGACCGTCTGCAAATCAGCGGGAGTGGGAAATCAACAGTGCGGTATTTGTTTTAAAATGCTAATGACCCACTTGGTATGAAGCTGGAGATTAATTAACATTCACAGTGTTAAGGGAATAAGTCATTTTGCCATTACCCTCTGGCCCATGTGATTCGCCATCATCACTTTCATTCAGGTCTGATACAGAGGCCACCTGAAGTACCTGGTGTGAAAAACAAGATTGGAAATCAAACATACTTGTACTAGGAAGAAAACAGCAAATACATTTTAAGTAAAAGTGCAAAGAAAATGGTGTCCTGGAGTCTGTAACTGAAGGCAACAAACCAAGCTAAATGAATTGTCGGTAGTAAGTAGTCTGTGAATTATTAAGCACTGTAAATGGCTCAGGTATTCTCACTGCAATCATTCCCTCACCTCCACACTATAGGCCACAGAAATAACTTGCTGTTTCCAGTGTGTTTGGCATAAATCTTGCAGGATGTTACAGTATTGCAAGGAAATAAACATGCTTACCAATTGTGCAAATGTTGTAACCTTTAACCGCTTGAAGATTTCATCTTTTCGATACCTGTAATCTGAGATAAAGGAAAAAGAAATCATCAAAACACAAATGTATAATAATAATAATACATTTTATTTATAAGGGCTTTTTTAAATACTCAGACACTTTACATAAAAGCATAAAAGGAGCAAAACAACATCAAATAGTAAA